AAATGGCTTCTTCCTGTTTCCTACATTGGGAATTTTTTTTTTCACTAAACCAAAGATGTTTTATTTTATTTCTTTGGATAATATAGAGTAGAGTTTTTGAGCCAAATTCTGGGAAGAAAATGCATTAACAAAATCTGAAGTGCTTTTCATTGAGTATTAAACCACAGTAAAGAGCCAGAATTTTAAAATGTAAATGCACCGTCATACTGCGGTTAAAGCACCAAATGGAATATTCTGAATGTAGCAATCAAATATCATGGAGAAGTCATCAATGTTTAAACCATAAATCATCAAAAAGAGGGTAGAAGGAATCTCTATTACTTTATGGGATGCAATCAGGGGCTCTTCCTTCAAATATACTTACTAATGAATATCCATGTGATGCACCGGGTACTTTGATTATTTCCATCCTTTCTGCAAAGCTAAAGGCGAAAAATGCTAACTTGATTCTCAGGTACAGAGTTATTTTAAGCGAGCAAAATATAGTGAAATATTATGTCTCTAATAAGTTTCCTGCATGGCCGCTTAGTTTCAGTGTCTCTAGGATAGGAGTCAAGAATCTTTCCTTAGTATTTATAAGTCTTCAAATGTTCACCAAAAGGACGGGAATTAAGAAAGTATTGACTCTTTTATATGAAAAAGGTGTTGGTATGTAGGTGCTACAGAAAGGCGCATGGTGTCAAAGGCAGATATCATGGACTTACAAGTCTCTCCTGGGGGGGCCAGCACAGCTCGACATCCCTTGTCCCATAACCCCAAACGCCGTAGTCCCCAAATCACCTCCAAGTCACCCTGGCCTGATAATGCTGAGTTCCCAGCCCTTGTTTAGCCTGCCAGCAGTTATCATATGACCTAAGTAGAACAGTGATCATCCTGGAAAACAGAAAGCAAACCTGACTCGCACTAACAGCTAGACTTGGTATTCTCCTGGTGAATATAAACCATTTCACAGTAAACCAGTTTCAGACAAGACCACTCTGTGTCCCTCATGAAATAAGATTAAAACAAAAAACAAGATCACAGTGATCATGACTAAACACAGACCAAAAAAGAACATTGTCCAAACCAGAAGCATGACCAAACATCCCTCCTTTTTGTGTGTGTGTTTTGTTTGGTTTTGGTTTTCTGGCTGATATGAGTGGCTACAGCTTCTTTATCCATTACAGTTTTAGCCCCACATTATTTCCCCTGTTTTCTAGATAAAATTATTAAGCTATCCAATGATAGAATTACCTCTCTTTTGGATAGCATTCACTCCAGAAAAAAAATCCTACTTCCTTAACCCCTTCACAAAATTACCTAAAATGACCCCAAATCCCACCTGAGAAGCAGCATATTCTAAGATTACACGGAAATGTAATAAAAACTCAAATTAAGGACTTTGAGTTGAGAAGTGAAATCAGTGAAAATTTATCAATTTCTTGGTAAGAGGAACTGGAATTAGGAACCTAGAAATGCTCTGGAGAGAATACATATTTGAAAAAAAGAAGAAGAAGAAAGAGATAAATGTGTGGTTTCTTTCATCCCGTTTACAAAATATTTAGTGCCTATTATGTGCCATGCATGATTCTGAAAACTGGGGATATAATGATAGGGGGAGGGGAAGTATTAAGGGATGGCAACAAACCTTAGTATCAAAAAGATGTCTGTAGAAGAAACTGATGGTTGTCAGATGGGAGGGGGGTGCAAGGGGATGGGATTAAGAAGTACAAACTGCCCTGACCGGTTTGGCTCAGTGGATAGAGCGTCGGCCTGCGGACCAAAGGGTCTCAGGTTTGATTCTGGCCAAGGGCATGTACCTTGGTTGCGGGCACAACCCCGGTAGTGGGTGTGCAGGAGGCAGCTGATCGATGTTTCTCTCTCATCGATGTTTCTAACTCTCTATCCCTCTCCTTCCTCTCTGTAAAATAATCAATAAAATATATTTAAAAAAAAAAGAAGAACAAATTGCCAGTTATAAAAATCAGCCACAGGTATATAAAGTACAGCCTAAGGAATATAATCAATAATATTTTAATAACTACGTATGGTGTCACATGGGTACTAGACTTATCGGGATGGCCACTTCCTAAGTTATATAAATGTCTAATCACTATGTTGTAAGTCTAATACAGTAGGTCCTTTGTTCTTACGGTGCAAGGTAACACGATTTTCACCATAAGTCAGAACCCACCTACTTAAGTACCTACGTCACTCACTCACATGGAGCACATACACAGCAGTAATGAAGTGAAACAGTAACAAAAATTTAAAGATAACAATTCCTGACCTTTCCTTGTGGTAAATAAATAATAAAAAACATAAAACACATATGTACATACGTCGAAATGACAGAACTTTTTTTTTATAAAAATAAATGGGAGATGGCGATTAACCACAAATCGACGTACGTCGAGTCTGACGTAACCCGAGGATTGCCTGTATAGTATTGAATGTCAACTGTAATCAAGATTTTTTTAAAAAAAAAAATACTGATATAAGAATAAAAACACAATCAGAAAAAAAAATCTGGCAAGTCCTAAAGATGATTAAAGGATTAGGAAAATCTAACACATAAAAGAAAGATACCAAGGTGCTTTATCTCTTAAAGGCAAGAAACCAGCCATTGCTCAGTGTAGAACAAGAAAACAAAATGAAACTGTGCTATAATGTAAGAGATTAAGACAAATGTCTGCTCTCTTATTAAATGTGGATATGAGTTAAATTAGTATGTTATCAACTCTCCTCTTTGGGAGACTAAAAAGATGTGGTTTAGTTGCATCTACTGGGGGCAGTTTGATTGAGACCTAGATGCATCCTTGCCCAAGGGCTGACAGATGGATCAAATGATCTCTCAGCATCCCTTCCAGCCCCACACTTCTGTTTTCCTAGGATTGTTGGACTAGGATGTTAGCTGAGTCAGATTTGCCCTTGCAAGTTAGTGGAGGAGTCAGCTGCTTGAAAGAAAACAGGTAGACTTTTTGTCTCCAAAATAAATGCCTCTCTACCCTTTCCAAATTAAATTATACCATTACATTATACCATTATTTTTTCTTGCATCACTACATATTTTTAGTCTTATAGAGTTCTTAATTGAATACCTAAGTGAAAATAAACTCAACCTTATCTGATAAAAACTTAGCAGCAAACCAAGACTGGAAATGCAGGACGAGGGAGTCCCAAAGCAGAGAGAAAACAGACATGACTATCACTAACAAACTGCACCTAATTGATAAGCTTTAGACTTATGCAGAAGATAGCCCTCTCCACCCTCCCAGCTGAGTTTAGCTATTCATTCTTTTTAAATTAAATTTATTGGGGTAATATTGGTTAATAACATCATACAGGTTTCAGGTGTGTAATCTTATAATAAATCATCTGTATATTGCATTGTGTGCTCACCACCCAAAGGCTAGTCTCCTTTCCTCACCATATATTTGACCCCCTTTATTCTCTTCATCCTCCTCCTACCCACCTTGCCCTTTGGTAACTACCATACTGTTGTCTGTGAGTTTGTTTTTGTTGTTGTTGTTGTTCACTTGTTGCTTTTTGTTATATATTCCACATATGAGTGAAATCACATGGTTCTGGTTCCTTTCCACCTTTCCTATTTTGCTTAGCATGATGCTCTCAAGACCATCCAAGTTGTTGCAAAATGCAATGTTGCATCCTTTTATATGGCTGAGTAGTAGTCCCTATTACCAGGTCTTCTTCATCCAATTGAAGGACACTTAGGTCGTAAATAATGGTGCAATGAACATAGGGATACATATGTCTTTACGAATAAGTGCTTTTAAATTTTTCGAGTTGATATCCAGAAGAAGGATTGCTGGGTCATATGGTAACTCCATTCTTAATTTTTTGAGGAACCTCCATAGTTACTGTGCCAATTTACATTTTCACCAGCAGCATACAGGGTTTCCTTTTCTCCACACCCTCTCCAATACTTGTTTGTTTCCTTATTGATAACATGTGTGAGGTGGTATTTGATTGCAATTTTGATTTGCATTTCCCTTATAGCTAATGAAGTTGAACATCTTTTCATTTATCCATTGGCCATCTGTGTCTTCTTGGGAAACATGTCTGCTCAGGTCCTCTGCTCATTTTTAAATTGGAATTTTTGTTTTGTTCTGAGTTGTATGAGTTCTTTATATATTTTGGATATCAGTCCCTTGTTGGAGGTATCTTTTGCAAAAATACAAGTCATTCTTTCAACGACTTTGGAATTCCTACCAGTGCAGAGCACTAGACAAAACACTAGGGCACTACAGCAAGCAGCAGACATGGCTCTTGCCTTCCTGCAAAACACTGAACACATGGTAAACACATAGTGAATTACTAAATGAAGCCTACATATACACCGCAGATAACAATTGAATTGCAGTGTGCACAAAGCACCACCATTCTAGGCACTTGGAATGGGGTGGTAACAGAATGGACAAATCCTTGGCCCTCTGGAGGCTACATTCTGGTCAAAGGAAGTTATACAATGAAAGCACAAGGTGTTCTAAGAACTATGACGAGGAAACCTATCCTAGCTGACAAGTCCTCCCTGAGAAAGGGATGTTTCTCTTGGTGAAAGGCATGTGATGGCGAAAGAGGAGGTACCAATCCTGGCGAGCGTTCCATGTAAAGTTACCAAATGTTGTCAGACTACCACGATTTGCTTGTTAGTAGGATAAAGGGTAATATTTTTATCAGTATTATTCTAATATTTGCGCAATAAATAATTTTAAACAACATCAAAATCATACTTATAACTGTTATCTTATTTTTACCTTGTAGCTTTAATGTATTGGTCTTTACATTTATAAATTATGATCAAATTATATATGGGTATGACATAATTTAGAGAATTAAAAATCAAATAGGAGTTTTACCCTCATGATTCAAGCCCTGAGTCTAATTCCAAAATGTGTTTGATGTTGCTGAATGCAAACAAGATAACATGTTTGACACTGTGACATGGATCTTTCCCACCTACACTGAATATGAATTATAGGTTGGTTCCTGCACTACAGGTGGACCTGTGGCAGCCCAGCAGTATCTCCTATGTCTCAGAGGGAACAGTCACTGATGTCCATATTCCCCACAATGGTTCCCGCGCCTTGCTAGCCTTTTTACAGGAAGCCAACATCCCATACAAGTAAGCATTTTTTTTTCATTGTTTAGTCCATTTGTACTAAGTTGAACTGAATTATAGCTGTATTCAGGTTATTTACTGAGTGCCAATGATGTTGTGTCAGGTACTGTTTATCCAACTGGGAAAACCAACATGAATATAACAATTATATTTATCTTTGAGCTTATTAATGTAATGGTAAAGAGAGAAACCACATCGACATATTTCACCATCACCACCAAGTCATCAGTATGAACACAGAAGGTATTTTTTTCTGTGGGAGGAAAGTAGAGAAGCCTAGCAATGCCTAGAAGGCGAATGAGGTTGTTTTAAATATATTTTATTGATTTTTTACAGAGAGGAAGGGAGAGGGATAGAGAGTTAGAAACATTGATCAGCTGCCTCCTGCACACCTCCTACTGGGGATGTGCCTGCAACCAAGGTACATGCCCTTGACCAGAATTGAATCTGGGACTTTTCAGTCCGCAGGCTGACACTCTATCCACTGAGCCAAACCACTTAGGGCAGCAGGGAGAGCTTTTTGTAGGAGCTGTTCAATTAGGCAAAGGATGAGACTCAGGACCTTGCAAACAGAGGAGACAATGCAAGCGAAGGGAAGAAGCAGCATAGTGTGTGTGCAGGAAACTGAGGTAGGTCTGTGTTATTAGTGTACAAAATTCAAATCAGTAGAAAAAAAATGGTGGAGAGTCAGAGGAGGTCAGGTTGTGGGAAGAATGATGTTCACTCTTATCCTGTGGGCGGTGCTGCACAGGTGGAGGATGCAAGCAAGGGAGACACACACACATAACTGGATAGAGACTGCAATCATGGTCCATGTAAGAGATAGTGAGGACCTGAGTCACGACCAGAGTAGTGGATCAGGAGAGCATTCAATAAAATAGTTCAGCCCTGACCGGTTTGGCTCAGTGGATAGAGCATCGGCCTGCGGACTGAAGGGTCCCGGGTTCGATTCCGGTCAAGGGCATGTACCTTGGTTGCGGGCACATCCCCAGTGGGAGATGTGCAGGAGGCAGCTGATCGATGTTTCTAACTCTCTATCCCTCTCCCTTCCTCTCTATAAAAAATCAATAAAATATATTTAAAATAAAATAAGATAAAATAAAATAGTTCAGAGGCAAAACCTCCTGGACTCCTCACTTGGTTGGATGCAGGTGCCAAGAGAAAGAAGTCAAGGATGATGCCAAGTCTTCTAGCTTGGGTGAATGAGCAGCCAGATTCATACAGATTTGGATATTTTCAGGTTTTCTTAAGGACTAGTTATGCTAGCACGAATAGAACAGGAGTCAAAGAAGAAATGAAAGACTTTCAAGAGAGGGAATATCAGTGGTACCAAATACTGCAATGAGACCAGCAAGAAAAGGATTGAACAGTTTCCTCTGGATTTGGCAATAGGATCAGTGTTGGTAACTCTAATTGAGGAATTAGATTGTCAGGAGTAGGAGACAGAGAAGCAAACAGGAGGTGAGAACATGGAGCAGCAGAGAAGATGACTGCTCTTGGAAGGTAAAATGAGAGCAGTAGAGAATGAGGAGTGACTACAGGGAGATGCAGTATCAGTGACTGCTTGAGTTTGGAATTTGTTTGGGGAGGGGGCAATTTGGGCTTGTCTATAGGCTGAGGGGAAGGGCCAGTAGGAAAGAAGATGATGATGAGGCCAGAAAGAATGCAAAAGTGGAGATGTGAGTTTAAATAGTGGGAAGGAACATTACTCTCTGAGACTGAAGACGTAAGTGTGGGACTAGTTGAAAGAGATGATAACTGGTGGCTAACTTTTTTGAAGAAGCAAAATTATCTTCTGAAAGTGAAAAAACAAGGGTTGAAGAATGTTCCAAGAGAAAAACTAAGGTGGGCACCAAGAAAAGAAGTTGTTGCAGATACTAGAGCTTATAGCCCTGATAAAGAGTTGAGATTTCATTGAGCAGGACCACAGAAAGATCATGGTCATAATGACATTCCTAGTGAGATACTAGCTCAAGTATTCATCCATGGGGTCTAATCTGGATAGGAAAGGAGGAGAGTTTGGGAGGAATGATGGGGGACAGGGGTGACAGGAGAATCAAGGAAGGGGTGAAGATCTTTATATTTAAAATAGGTGTAGTGTGACTGAGGACAACAAACTAAATGCAAGTTTTGACAGTGTTGGCTATTGGATATTAAGAAATCTAGGATAGAACATTTATGGCTGGTGACAAGATTAGGGGGTAACCATGGGACAGATGGCTGAAGTGTAGTAGAGATCATTGAGGATGAAGTGGTCAAGAATGGGTGGATAAATAACCAGAGAATCATCATAGCACTCTTAAATCTCCTTGGCTGATGACAAGATTAGAGGTGGAGAGATATAATAGGACGGGAATATCAGGAAGTATGCAGGAGCTAGAGAAAAGCAACTAGGAATGGTGTGATGCTGAAGAAAGGATAAGCTTTTCCTGGAAGTTAGAAGATTAAGGGGGAAGGAGAAATGGGGGCCCAGGAGAATGCTGACCTCCCTCCCTTCTGGCCCCATGTTAAGTGGAATGGAAGAAGAGAAAGCCATAAAAGAATCTGCGCCCTACCCGGTTTGGCTCAGTGGATAGAGCGTCGGCCTGCGGGCTGAAAGGTCCCAGGTTCGATTCCGGCCAAGGGCATGTACGTTGGTTGCGGGCACATCCCCAGTAGGAGGTGTGCAGGAGGCAGCTGATTGATGTTTCTCTCTCATTGATGTTTCTAACTCTCTATCCGTCTCCTTTCCTCTCTGTGAAAAATCAATAAAATATATTTTAAGAAAATAAAAAGAATCTGCATCCTTAAGAGCATCCAGTCTCTATTAGGGCAAGAATATAAGAGAGAGTTCTCTGAAGAGACTGGAGGATGTAGGAAGCCTATTTACAGAGAACGAGGGATTCCAGAAAGTTCACTGAAAAAGGAAGTGGAGGGATGGGGAGTCAATGCAGGATCTGAAGTGCATTGTAGTAATGAGACTAGACTGAGCGACTTACCTTTTGTTTGGAATCCTAGGATTTCGGGATTGACAAGCATGATTGTCAATAACTAACCTCAGCTACCCCCAATTTTTTAAATCCTCACTTGAAGATATGTTCCCATTGATTTTTAGAGAGAGAGTGGAAGAAAGAGAGAAATATCAATGTGAGAAAAACGCATCGATTGGTTACCTCCTGCATGAGCCCTGACCAGGGCCCAGGCTGTGGAGGAGCCTGCAACCAAAGTACGTGCCCTTGATCGGAATCAAACCTGGGACCGTACAATCCACAGACTGATACTCTATCCACTGAGCCAAACTGGCTAGGGCAACCCCCAATTTTTTAGCAAGTTCTGGTACTGACAGAACAAGCACAAAGATCTGTAATGATGTGGCGAGGCCTGGGATGGGCTCATGGCTCTTGGGATTAATGGTGAAGGCCCTAGTCTCTGTGAAAGGCTGGACCAACGGTGCAACATGACAGTGACATCCCTCCCTGGTCCACACAAATAATTCCCTGCCAGAAAAATAATTGCAGCCTTATTAAAGTACTGATTTGCTTTTTCAGTAAGATATTTTATCTGTGCTTCTACAACAGGGTAGAGGCACAGCTGTGCATAAAACTATTGTTCATATTGAACATATTTTAATCATTGCTGTAGCTTTGATTTTCTGAATGCCCAGCAGGAAAGAGCTTGGTAATTATATCTATAGGTGCTCAGTAACAACTCACATGCTTCATTAATTATTATTCGCTAGCAAAGAATATACCAGTTATTTTAACAAGTCTCTATTTCCTGCTATTAAATATAGGTCATGTGGAGCTAACAGAATAAAAATCACACTGTATGTCACGGAGGATAGAGTCTAAAAATGAGTGTTTTAAATCAGTTGTCTCCTCGTGGAGATAATAATTTAGAATTATTCATTTTGTTGGTCGCAAGATAATAACACATAAGAGTATATTAAATTCCACAGGACCAGTAGGTAGAGATCACTTTAATTGACTTTTATTATTGGAGCCTGGAGTATTTTCAAAATATTATCATTTACTCTGTACAACTATACATATTTATAGCTATAGTCATTTTTAAAGCGGAGATAATGTGACCCCATGTGTCTGGCCCCTAGGTGATCAATTCCTCTTACTGACATGACAAATAAGAGACTCATTTTGCCATAAAAAAAAACTGTCATTTATTGTGTAAGTTAAATACCTATAAAAATTGGTCATGGAACTTCAAATTTGGAGTTCCCTCTTCCACCCTGGAAGCTTGGGGGAGGTGGTTTTGTACTAAGTGATGACATCACTTGGAAAGTTCTTCATAGGAGCTCATACAATTGGTAGGAATAATAATCAGCTGTAAAGAACTAAGAAAATACAACAGCTACAGAAACCACTTCTGGGCTCCATTTCCTGGCCTTTTCATCAATCCATTAGTTTCCAATAAACTACTTGATGAGGAAAATGGGCTAGAACTTCCAAATCACAATTATTTTCATTTTCAGGTTGGTCTCTTTGGGCCTGTATTAAGGTGCAGGCTAAGTTATTGAAAATAGCAGTATGATTGTATTTATTCACACAACCATTTAGTTTGTATAACTACTCAATCAATGGTAGTCATTATTACTATTATTATTAGGGAACATATGCTTAAACCTTTACATTTTATATTTATTACACCATTTATTTAACAGCTTTTATTTCCTGAAAAAAAATAACATTTCCCAAAATTTGGCATTCTTAGAAATATCAGTATTTGCTGCCCTCACTTCATAGATGCATGATTTTCTTTTTATATTCCCTGATTTTTATATTATCTCCATTTAATTTTCATCATGTCTATTATTACATATCCAGGATCCTCATAGAAGATCTTCAGAAAGTACTGGAAAAGGGAAGCAGTTCGCAAGCTCAGAGAAATCGAAGATCCCTCTCTGAATATAATTATGAAGTTTATCACTCCTTAGAAGACGTATGTAATCAAAGGGGCTTTCCTTGCTTTTTTGAAAATTAATTTTTATCAGATCTAAGGATTGAGAATGAAGCACTAAGAGGCAGGGGCTAGAGGAAGAGTATATATAGCTCTTTATACTGCCTAGGCGCCTCAGTCTTCCACTAAGCCTTTAACTAACTGCTATATAAGAAGTAGCAAAGTAATTTTAATTCATTTGCTCCACCCACCCCTACGCAGGACATGGGAAATGCATTGGAAAAGTGAAGTAACGTTGTTATAACTGTGGTTATAAAGACCTTAACTTAAAAGTCAGGTGCACTTATCGATGGAAGGTAGAGTGAGCTCGAGTTTGAGAGCAATGATTTGGTTGAGGGATAAGAGTGAACTTTGCTTCTTACCCCACACCCTCTGCAAGCCTGTGACCTCCCAAAGGCCAGGCTTCATCTGTGGCACCTCAAGGCTTATTACTGTGCTGTTATTTATTCTACCTGGAAAACACAGCAACCTCATTCCCACTACCATGTCCTTTACTGTTCACCTGGACACAAATCTCAGCTTAAGCAGGAAGACAGCTGCTTCTACTGAATCAGAACTCCACTCCCACCTCCAGCCCCCAGCATCTTGCATGCACCATAGCACGTGGATGTACGATTATTTGATCAATGCCTTTCTCTCTCATAAGCTGCAAGTTCCATGAGGACAGGCATTTCTCGTTCACCACTATATCCCTAGTGGCAAGCAAATAGACCTCCAAACAGAGAGTTGAGGACAGAATGAATAAATGAATGCACATATATATATTTTCCATACTTCTCCGAATTGAGCAAAAGAATGCCGGGCATAGAATTCGTGAGATCCTGTTACATATTCTTAAGAGAATTTTTGGTTCTCTTGATAATGACTTTCCTTTCAAGAGTATTTCTATATATTTTATGTTACAATAAGGAAAGGCTTTAGATAACTTGGCACAGGGATGTGCTATTAACATGAACTAGAAAAAAGTCAAAAATTTAAAATATATCTATATAGATATGTATGCATACATACATACATAGGCTCATTAGACTAAGAAAAAAAATATAGTACCTTCCAAAATATTTCTTCAGCACAGATTCTTTTACATCATGGAATAGTGGGACATTTTTGTGTGACTTCCTTACTCCTCATGGAGTTTTTAAGTCAGAAATGTCACCCATCTTTCTAAGTGCCTTATTCATCCATCTCCAGTGTACCTACTGATGACAGGTAAGTGTATGTGAAAGGATTGATGCAAATGCATCACTATAACTGGGGAATTTACTCAGATTATGCCCTCCAATATGTGGCTTGATAGAATACCATTAAATGCAAAAAATAATGTCTTTTTCTCAGCATCTTCTGTTCAGTAGCAAATTATAATATATTGCACTTCAATGAACACTTTTAAGTTGTCTGAACGATTTTCTTGAAAGCAATTTCCTTTTTTTACTCTTAAATAGTTGGGAGGAAATGAAAATAAATTTTGATTTTCAAAAGGAACCCAGAACACATTAATTTTTTAAAAAACTCTGCCATCAAGATATTAATGACAAATGATAGTAGAAGGTATGCTTTAAAGAGGGAGCAATATACAGACATGAAGCTACTATTTGTAAAGGCAGAAAATAAAAGGTAACGTTAAATATCCCGAAGAAATTTAAAATAGAATTTTTGACTTTTGTTCAATTTTATATTCCATGTGTGTTCTTTGTGTTCTGGGACCTATTGTTGTCTTGTTACCTTCTCTTCTCTAAAAGCTCTATAATTATGGAGTCTGACATGGTCTTTATTTATTTGCTTTTAGATTCAAAATTGGATGCATCATCTGAATAATACTCATTCAGACCTCATTCACATGTTCTCTATTGGAAAATCATATGAGGGAAGATCTCTCCTTGTTTTAAAGGTAAAAGCAGGAAATTATTAGGTAAAAAAACAGGAAATTATTAACTAAAATATTTGCTAAACATTAACTTTGATCTATGGGGGAAAGAAGTGAAATGGTCTGTCATAGTGTCAAATATTTAACATTATCTGATAATTTCAGAAAACAAGTTCCCTTAGGTTTTCAAGCCATATTGAATTTTTGCCATTGAGTATTCCAGAGAATACTAACATATTGATGCACCTAAAAAATAATGACCTTCAAAATGATTTGCGAGTTGGTGCTACATAAAAGTGATGCGTCATTCCCAGCCCTTCACCTTATATTCTCTTCTACAGCTCTCTACCTCTTCACATGCAAACACTCAAAAAGATTTAAAATAAAACATCCCTCTCTACTTTCTCCCCGTCTATTGAGACCTTGACTCACTGGCCGTCGTGCCCCCACCACTCTTCTAAACCACTAGGTTTTCCTCCCATCTCTTTGACCATTCTCTCAGGTTCCTCATTCCTATCCTTTCCTTACGTTCTGGCAATCCCAGGATTCTATCCTCAAATGCGCTCTCATTCTACAAACGATCTCCGGATGGGCATATCCACCCCACGGTTTCAACTATCATTCTAGAGACTCTGCTATTCAGTGGCGTCCACTGTCTGGAGCTTTAAAATGCATCCATCATTGCCTGCTTTACATTCTCATCTCAATAGTCACAAAAGCACCTCCCCTCAGAATGGCACCACGCTGCTCCCAGTCTAAAAACATGAGCATCAGCCTAATTTCCTCTCCTTGATTTTTACCACCAAGAACATTCATTCTTCCTTCTAAATAACGTTTGGAGCTGCACCGACCTTCTCTTTTGTCCTCACTTATTGCTGGATCTGTTCCCCCTGGACTATCCCAATAATGGCCTCCGTACTGAACTTCCCTTTGAAACCAGCCTCTACCCTCTCATCCTCTCACCCACCTCCACTGCTGTCAGTGTGGGCTCTCGCTCTCTCCCCCTGACTCCAAACACACTTGCCCCAAGGGATTCAGGATGAGCCAGCTCCATCTGCCCTTCCTCCTACCTGGGAAGCAGTCCCTCAGATATGGTGTGCTTAGGTTCTCTTCCACGCTTGTGATGCCTCTTCCTACTTGTCTGCCAGGCAAAGCTTCCTCAAGTGCTCAAGTGCTCAAGAAGAAGGCCCCTCTTTTGAGAAGCCTTCTTTTCTTTTTCAGGAAAAAATTAGACATGTTCCCAAATTAACTTACACATTTTCACATCATACTGATTAATTGCTCGTATGTCTGCCCACCCCACTCGCATATAAATCCTGTCTTTCATCTTTGAATCTCTGGTGCTGAGTACAGTGTCTGACATGGAAAAGGATTTCCTGAGTGAACTAATGAATAAACGAAAATTAGATCCCCTATAAATATAAAGTCAAGAGCCACCTATCGATTACTGGGTTAGAAACCATTATAAGGTAATATTCATAATCTATACTAATAAAAGGGTAATATGCTAATTAGACCAGGAGACCTTCCAGGTGTCCTTCTGGACAAAGCCATGGTGGCAGGGCTGAGGCAGAGGTGATTAGGGGCAATCAGGCCAGGAGGGGAGGTCAGTTGAGGGTGATCAGGCCGACGAGGGGGGGCAGTAGGAGGTGAGCAGTTGGGGGCAATCAGGCCGGCAAAGGGGGGTAGTTGGGGGTGAGCAGGCCGGCAGGCAGAGTGGTTAGGGACGATCAGGCAGGCAAGCGGGTGAGTGGTTAGGAGCCAGCAATCCCAGATTATGAGAGGGATGTCCGACTGCCAGTTTAGGCCCAATCCCACAGGGATCCCCTGAGGGGTCCCAGATTGGAGAGGGTGCAGGCTGGGCTGAGGAAACCACCCCCGCCCCCTGCACAAATTTCCTGCACTGGGCCACTAGTAGGAGTATAAAGAAAAATCTGTCACTTAATTGTATAATTCAAGTTGTTTTGTGTTTTTCCATTTTGCGTTTAAATAAAATTTTACTTTGTCCACCTATAAAACATAGCTAATTCTTTACAAAAGACTCCTTGGGAGTATTTCTGATTTCATAGATGGAGGCGAGGTGGAAAATTTGGCTTTTTACTTAACAGTCACATATTCTATTAAAATAGAGAAGCAAATCTCTCTAAGGAATTGCTATTTTCCCTGTGTATTTTCCAATTCTTTGATTTGTAATCAGGGCAATAAATGTGTTTCTGTGTAAACAAATCTGGACTTCTGAAATAGGAAATCACTTTCTCTTTTTTATGGGTTATCAAATGAAACCTTATTAAATTATGCTGGTAAGTAAATCCAAAAATAAAAGCCTGCATTGGTTACTGTGAATTCTCTTGTTTTCAGCTGGGCAGGCGATCCCGAGCTTACAAACGAGCTGTCTGGATAGACTGTGGTATTCATGCAAGAGAATGGATTGGTCCTGCCTTTTGTCAGTGGTTTGTAAAAGAAGTAAGTTAAACCTTTTACACAATGCCCATTTCAGCTAGTCAGTGGCTCCCATGTGTTTTTATTCTGTTCAAGGAACAAAACTGGGAACGTGAAACCAGTGATACCTGCTTGAATGATAACGTAGTGATTCTGAGTCGCTTTCATGTTTATGAAGACCTCTCATGACCCTGGCTCAGCTTATCATCACCTCTGCCCTTAGAGGTTGGAATTACCAACCCTCATGATAGAGAAGGAGCCTGGGATTCAGAGCATTTATGAATTTGTAACCAATTAGAAACCAGCCATAGTAGCTGATATATGGCAAAAGGCTAAAAATCAAATTTATGGTGTTCCAGAGAGGATTCTTATATAATATTCAACATCATTTGTCTTCTCTGTCAAAATGATCTCACACATGCTATAACAATAAAGAGATGAGCAAGTAATTGCATTTTTCCCTCCTGCTATGGATCTGTAATTTAGATACCAAAGACCTTTAACATCTGTGAATTTAACATTGTCAGTATTTTTCATCGACTCTAATTATTAATGACTCAGTGATTTCTCACTTTCCAAAGGCTTCTGTATGTTAGTGTATCTAGTGGGTCCCTATCCCAAGAATGGGCAATTTCATGAACCAACATCTTAACATGTTTGAATATTTTTCTATCCTTGTCAAGAATGTAATGACTTTCGTGGTGGTTGTTTTTTAATCTTGACTTCTTATTTTTTTTAAAAAACTCTTAAAAGAAAACCAACCACTATAGTACTGGTGCTAAAAATGAAAAAGACTAAGGAAATGAAGGTTCTAAGCCAAAAAGTAACCTACAAATATGTTTAGCCCTGTACTTACAGAGAACCATTAAGGATACCAAAGATATTTTAAAACTTCAGTCTTATAGGGAAATTATATGCTCTAGTGTGAGGTGTGGGATTTTGAGGACTCTCCTAGCCTTGTAAAATGTCAAGAAAGTACTGAATTTGTTAAGTCTGCCACTACCAAACCCATAAAAGTATCCTTAATTTTATAAATATTATGTAATAATAAAATTTTCAAACTATTCCCGCTCAGTGTTTTGAGTAATTCATATTCTTTAAAAGACAATTTCACCCAAATAGGACAAACGCAAAATCAAATAAGAAATTAACTCTATTACCTATTGTATTAAATATCCATTGTATAGATAAACATACTATCTGCTTTATCAAGTTTCAAAAAGAGGAGAAATTAGTTAAGTACAGAACACCTATTGTTTCTAGACCACGGTCCTGTGTGCGATTGAAGGACATAAGAAATTTACCTCAGCCCGCATGTGCGGCCTCTTCCTTAGAACACCTACACTTATTTTATATGTTCATGGTATTATCTCTTTTTTGCACCAAGGGTAGAGACTCTATCTTGTTCAGTGCCAAATCCCCAGCACCCAGAGCAACACCTGGCACTTAATAAATTTTTCAAACATTTGTTAATGGGAATAATGAGAATCCAGTGGTAATGAAGTGGAAAGATTTCTGAGAGAGGACTTGTCAAATCGCCTCATGTAATATGAATGGTACCACCTGGATTTTTGCAAGGCACAATCTGTAAAGTCATAGGTAGCAGCTCTATAACTCAAGCTACATGTCCCAGGAAGAGGAAGACACCATGTAACCACAGAAAAAGAAAGAGGCACATATAATGACTGCCCATTGAAAATAGTTGATATTGGAGCAAAAGCAAGAAGAACCCATGAAAGTGATGCGCCATTTGACCAAAGATAACTAAAGAAAGGCTTTCCCTTCACCAGGCCATCTTCAAGCACACAGGTATGTCTAGCCATTTTTGTGCCTCTGCTACCCTTTCCATACCTCCCTCACTCTCCTGTTTATGGCAGTTGCTTGCCTCTCCACTTTATCACTTACATTTTCCATGAGTCAGGAGAACAAACAGAAATTGGGGGGTGGGGGAGAAGACTTATGGGATCGCTTGTTTCAGTGGCCTGGTGGAAGTATTGGGGCTGCCAACGTGTGACAGCCACATAGTAGCAGTGTCAGGAGTGGGTCGACATTACAGGCTTATAAGAAATATTCTCATTTGCTTTAAAGCCTCCATTTCCACTAATGGTGGTATTGGGGGCAGAGGGAATAGGGACTTTAAAGATTTAAATAACCTTAAACCTGCCTAGCATTGGAACATCATCTCTTACACACTAACTCAGTCCTTTGTTAAATCCTCAGCCTCCCAAAGAAGGCATTGGGTGGCTGGTCCAAGAGGGGCACCAAGCAGCATCCCTTCCACAAGTGACCTCCCCTCCACCACAGAAGGCCCATGACCAGCTCCCAGGCTCTCAACTCATCTAATTTTCATGCCCCTCTGGGGACACCAGGGAAGCTCTGGGCTCCCTCTCTGCCTCCCAGGAGACTGTAGGATGCTATCTGTCCCCCTCTTGGCTGACACATATAATAAGCCATATAATAAGCACTCAAGGACGGGGTGTCCTTTCAGACATGGCGTAAACAGGACAGAGGTCCTCTTTCCTTACATGTTTTTCTCCAATCGGTCAGTGGTCTCTACCATGTCTTGATTTCCCTGGAGTTCCAACCCCCAAGAGACGAGGGTACTTTCAGAAGCCAAAAGATTGGCTTCCTGCCTTTGCTTTCTCTCTTTCTTGAGTGCTTTAACCCAAACTCAACAGCTTAAAACAACAGTTTCTGTGGGTCAGCAATCCAGGCACAGGATAGCCAGATGCCTCCTGCTCAGATCCCTCACAGGGCTGCGGGGTGGCTGGTCCAAGAGGGGCACCAAGCAGCATCCCTTCCACAAGTGACCTCCCCTCCACCACAGAAGGCCCATGACCAGCTCCCAGGCTCTCAACTCATCTAATTTTCATGCCCCTCTGGGGACACCGGGGAAGCTCTGGGATCCCTCTCTGCCTCCCAGGAGACTGTAAGATGCTATCTGTCCCCCTCTTGGCTGACACATGCCACACTTCTGATTGTCCCTCCTCTCATGCAGGAACACGTGACGGGGTGTCCTTTCAGACATGGCATAAACAGGACAGAGGTTCCTCTTACATGTTTTTCTCCAATCGGTCAGTGGTCTCTACCATGTCTTGATTTCCCTGGAGTTCCAACCCCAAGAGACGAGACACAAACCACAACTGATGGCTCAACTCTATTCAGGGTCAAGATGAAGGAATTAAATAGATGTAAATCCTCCATTTGAGGGCCTCAGGATGGCATCTATGTTGCCATTATTATCAGGTGTCATTCTTATCAAAAGTCTTTCCTGCTCAAACCCATCCTGCTCAATCTTTGTTTTCAAAGTAGAGAGAACCACATAGCAAAATAAATTCCAAATGTGTTAACAATTTAAATTAAAAAAAAACTCAAAAGATATAGAAGGAAATCAGGCCCACCGGTGTTACTCAGTGGTTGAGCATTGGTCCACGACACAAAAGGTCACCAGTTCAACTCCCAGCCAGGGCACATGCCAGGGTTGCAGGTTGGATCCCCAGTAAAGGGCATGTGGAAGGCAGCTGATGGCTGTTTCTATCTCTCTATCCTTCTCCCTTCCTCCATCTCTAAAAATCAATAAACCGTATTTAAACAACAGCAGCAACAACAAAATATCAGCAAGGACATGAAAGAACTCAACAGCACCATCAACCAACAGAATCTAATCAACATTTATAGATCACTCCATCCAGCAACTGCAGAATACACATTCTTTTTTTAAGTGTCTCTGGAACATATATCATGATATACCATATCCTGGGCCAAAAAAACAGGACCTTCACACATTTAAAAAGTATTAAAGTTATACAGACTGTGTTCTCTGACCACAATGAAGTCAATCTAGATATCTATAGCAGAAAAATCACAGGAAAACCTCCACACACTTGGAAATTAACATGCTTTAAAATTATCTAGGGGTCAAAGATAAAAATCTCAAAAAAAATTGAACATATTTAACTGAAGGAAAATTAAAATAGAACATATCAATATTTCTGGGACACAAAGCAATGCTGAGAGAGAAAATATGATAGCATTTAATGCATACATTAGAAAAGAAGGAAAATCTCAAAATAATAATCTAAGCTCTCACCTCAAGAAACTAGAAAATGAAACCAAAGCAAACTGAAGTAAAATATTGATAAAAGAAGAAATCAATGAAATTGAAAACAAAATCAGAAAAAAAATCAGTGAAACAAAGAACTGGTTCTTGAAAATGTTAATGAAATTAATAAAACTCTAGCAAGGAAGACAAAGACAAAAGATAGAAGATACAAATTACCAATATTAGAAATGAAACGGGATATCACTGCAGACCCTGCTGATATCAAAAGGGTAATAGGACAATACTATGAATAACTCTGCACATATAAATTTGACAACTTTCACAAAATGAATCAATAAATTGAAAAACTGCAACTTATTCATTATGAAACAGATAATTCGAATATCCCTATTATTATAAAGGATATTGAATTCATTATTTTAAAATTAAAAGAAATCCTTTGTCCCAGATTGTTTCACTGAAGAATTCAACCAAATGTTCAAAGAAATTTAACACCAGTTCTCCATGATTTCTTTCAGAAAATAGAAGAGGAAAGAACACTTTCAATTCATCTTAGAAAGCTAGTAATTGCCCTGATACCAAAATCAATCAGAGAGTAGGGGGAAAAAGAAAACTAGAGAACAGTATCTCTCATGAAAATAGATTCAGAAATCCTTAGCTAAATACTACCAAACAGAATTCAGCAATCTATAAAAATAATTATGCCCCATGGCCAAGTGGGGTTTATTTCAGGACTGTGTGCCTGGTTGGATATTTGAAAGTTAATCAATGTAATCTAACATAATAATCTCACATAATCTTATCAATTGAGACAGAGAAAGCTTTAACAAAATTCAACATACATTCATCATAAAAACTCAAAAAAATAGGAATACAGGGGAACTTCTTCCACTTTATAAAGAACATCTACAGCCCTAACTGGTTTGGCTCAGTGGACAGAGCGTTGGCCTGCAGACTGAAG